TTCTTAGTTTCCTTTTTATTTTTATGGAATAAAGGTCCAATTTACTTTGAAACTTTACCATATATTTGCTTCTGATCTTTTAAAAATTATTATTATGTTTTATTTAATGAATACGTGCTCATTTAACAATATAATCTGGTCATAAATGTCATATTCTCATCTCTGACTAGGAGACAGTCATATTTCTAGGTGTTTAATGCCATTCTAATACCAGTTGGTCTTGATCTCTTTTTAGAGCTGATTTTAAAAATCATTCTTTTAGGATTTGTCTCTCTGATATACTTACTCTCTGATTTTATTATTCATATCAGAAATAAACTCACCCATGTATTAAACTAACAAAAATGTAAAATTGTTTTAATGATTTAAATGGAAGTGTTTCTAAGGAGTAGTTTAAGATTGTGGCTCTATGTCATTTGTAACTTCAGCCATCTGTTGAGGTTACACACGATGCATTCTGATAATTCAATTAAATAGCAAAAGATCATGATACTTTCCATGTGATTTAAGATTGCAGTGGTTATGCCATGGGAATAAAGGAAATTAAGTGAAGTGCTCGCTTTGGCAGCACATATACTAAAATTGAAAATTAAGTGAAAATATAAAGAACTTTAAAATACACGGTGAGAAGATAGTTTGGACTGACTAGATACAGAAAATACAGCATTCTTTTCATAAGAGAGTTGGATAGAGGAAACAGTATTTTCCATATTCTTTTTTCCAAAAACCTTTATAATATGATAATAAGTGAAAAGAGAGCTTTTTCTACTAAAAGAGCGTCCTAACTCTTCTGTTTAGCCACGCTTGCATAGGTATTTTCAATTTCTTTGTCTTCAGGACACGTGTGGGTAAATTCTTCACGGGCATAGGCATTGTGAAGATAGCGCCAGACTCCCGAGAATTCTGCTGGAATGTCAAAGTCACGGTATTTCTTGGCGGCAACCTAGGGTTTTGGGAAAAAACAGTTGGTAGTAAAAGGCATCAGTGACATGCCTAGTGTGTAGAAACATATCTCAAAAGTCAAGATCGTTAAGAATATGTTATCTACACAAAAATAAACCTAAAAAATCTTGGACTTACTACTTTAATGTTTTGTTTACAAAGGTAGACAAAGCTATGTGTGTAATCACATTTATATTTATGCTGTATTTAATTATTAATATGTTTAGAAGAAAGCACAGAAAAAGAGCACATATTTCTCCACCAGACTAAGAGTTTGCTTAGGGTCCCAACTATGTCTTATTTCTTTATGTATTCTTATGTATTCTGTGTGTCTGGCATAGGATCTGAGACAGAATAAGTTCTGTTCAATAAGAATTTATTAAATAAATGATTAAATCATCATAAAATTATTAGTAGCTCACATTATTTATCATTTGCTATGATTCAGACACTGTTCTAAGCATTTTACATGCATTAGTTTAATTTTCTCCACAATTCCATGAAATGGGTAATATTACCCTTGTTTTATAGATAAGACAGTGGAAAACACCTTCTGATTTTGGAAGAAGCAAGAAGTTTTTATGGTTCCCAGAGAAGATCATTATGGATTTTTCCTCTGGGGAGAAAAAGGAGATATACACTATGCCTAATGATGATGACAAAGCCATCATATAACAATCTCACACTAAATAGTCTCTGTGTTTCATGCTGGCCATTCCCAAACCCCTCCCAGACCATTCAGCGTACCCTACGAAGACTTACTTTAATAATGTTCAGTTTGGGTAACAAGCTGCAGTCAGCCAGTGTCAGCTGATCCCCGTCCAAGAACAATCTTCTGGAAACTGTGAGTTCCTCGGCACTGTCTGGATCAATTTCATCCAGAAGCGGGGTGTTTAAGTAGTCATCCAGACGTTTAAATTCTCTGAGCAGAGATTTTTCAAAATCTGATGCAAAGAAAACATAAGGTTACTAATGTTTTGTCTTCATGACTGAATACATTCTCAGTATGCTTTTTACCCATTTAGACATCTCTATCTATACACATTGCTTACACTGGCCCTTCAAAAATCTAAATAGTTAACTAGAACTCTCAATTACCCACTGATAAGACAGGGTCAGATGTTTATTCAAATGGTGAGTAAAAACAGTTTTGGACTTTTCTTGAGGAGGTGCATTGGGAGGAGAGTCAGAGAAAGAAAAAGTCACATATGTTATTACTAAACACAAAAGAGTCAGAAATGGAATCAGAGACTAATAGCTCTCATGACTCAGAAGATAGTAGACCTATTCAAGAATGTTTGTGGGAGATGGTAGATACTATGGTTTTAGAAACCTTAAAGGTACACAGGACTGGGAAATTGAGCTAAGTTAGTAATTGCTCTATTGAATCTTGGGTTCTAAATTTAATAAAACTTCATGCAAAGGAATTTCAAAGGAGAGAAGAAAGAATCAGAGGAAGAGTGTATTCCCCAACATATACTACATATTCAGGAAAATCCTATTTTAGCTGAGTGAGACTGTGAGAATCAGCAAATGTGTGAGAGAAACAGAAATTTAAACAAAGGTATCTTACTCTTATTTGCTTCTTTTTGCGTATTCTTAATGTATGCAGAAAACTTGGCAAAGAGGTTACAGCCCACATCAAAGGACTCCTTGTTCTTGGGACTCAGGTGAGGATACCTTAAAAAGAAACATCACTCTATGATTATTCATACATAACAAGTCAGAGACCAAGTGTCCTAGCTTGTGCTCTACTGAGAATGGAGGTTTTGGAAAATTGTGCTGGAAATGGAAAGTCCTGGAATCTCTCATCGGAAATATGTATTTTTCCCAATATCAGAATACTTAAGTTTCTAAAGTTCACTGGGAAACTGATTGTGGAGAATTCAAAGCTCATTAACTTGTGGAAACAATGTTTTAAATGGTAGTTAGGTCCTCCGAACTTGCTCCTAAAAGCCTATTTGGCAGGAGATATGTTGGTAATACATTTTCAAAGGTAAGTCGTAGGAGAAACATGGTTTTAAATTATTGTAACTTACATAAAAATGAAGGAATAAAGAGGATAGAGGGGATGGAAAAAAGTAGCCAAGATGGCCTCTCCTTAATAATACAAAGTTTATTTAACATAATAAAATAAAATGATGTAGTAATGTAATTCACCACATTAAGAAATTAAATACCATATGATCATGAATAGATGCAGAAAAAGAGTTCAATGAAAATCAATTCCTATTCATAAAAAAACCCCACTAGCAACTAGAAATGGTCAGGACAAACAGTCATCTTCCTTGATTCCTCTCTTCTCTCCATCCCCATATTTGATCCATTAGCAATTCTAGCTAGCTTACCTTTCAAAATGTACCCAGGGGAGGTGGGTAGGGCATGGGCTAGATGGGTAATGGGCATTTAGGAGGGCAATGGGTGAGCACTGGGTGTTGTATGTAAGTGATGAATCACTGAATTCTACTCCTGAAACCAATATTGCAGTGTATGTTCACCGACTAGAATTTAAATAAAAATTTGAAAAGGAAACAAACAAACCCCAAAATGTACCCAGAATCTATCTACTTCTCACCACCTCCACTGCCCCCTGCCTGGTCCAAAGCTTATACTACTGCAACAGCTTCTTGACTATTCTCTCCACTCCCCTGCTTGTCCCCCACACTCCTAGACTATTTTCTACCTGCTGCCAGAGCAATCATGTTAAAAGGTAAGTCGTATCATATCTCTTCCCTACTTATTACCCTGCAATGTTTCCATCTCATTCAGACTCAGACCCCAAGTCCTCTCAGTAGTCTATGAAGACTGATGTGATTTGACCCTATCTTACCACTCTGCTCTCATTTCCTTCTACTCTTCCCCACTCACTTCACTCGGAACTTATCTCCTCGGTGTTTTTCAAATAGGCCTGACAAGCTTCCACCCCAAGGCTTTTTCACTTTGCCCTTGAATGGAGTGATTTCCCTCATATATGCACATGACCTGCTTCCCCTCTTCTTTCAGATCTTTTTATAATCCCTTCCTAAATGAGGCCATCCTCTGCCCACCCTATCTAACACTGCAACCTTTCCCCTGTCCTTAACACATGCTACTTCCCTCCTTTGTTTTATTTGTTCTTAGTTTTTAGCATCATCTAAAGTAGTTTGTTTTGCTTTTTAATCTTGCTTATTAATTGTCTTCCCCAACTAGAATGTAAGGTCTACAAGGACAGAGTGTTTTTGCTTGGTTTAATCACTGATATATCCCAAGTGCCTAGAATAGTAACTGACACTAAAGTATTCAGGAAATATTTGTTGAATGATTAAACTAATTCATTAATTTCCTTAACTTGATAAAATGTACCCATCAAAAACTTACAGCAAGCACCATATTAAATGGTGAACTGTTAGAACTATTACCCTTAAAATGAGTACAGGATAAGAATAATCATTATCACTACTACTTTTCAACATTTTGCTGAATGCACTAACAAGTGAGACAAAAAACATTCAAAATGGTGACTTTAGAACCATTTACATTAAATTTAGGAACAAGATAGACACCTACAATTGCTTTTATAGTAGATATTGTTTTTGAGGTTCTAGCAAGTTGAGAACATAAAGCACTAGTATAATTATTGGAAGAGAAGCAACAATATAATTGTATACCTAGAAAACCCAAGAAAGTATAGGAAAAATTACTAGAATTAATGAGATGTTTTGGTAAGGTGGCTAATACAAGTCAAACATTAAAAAAATAAGTTTTCCATGCTAGCTAGCAATAACCAGATAGAAATGGGTATTAGTAGCATATTCCATTTACAATAGTGATAAAAGTGTAAAATATTTAGAAATAATGTAATAGAAAAGGTAGAGAACCAATATGAAAAAAACAAAACAAGACAAAATCTTATCAAAGAACATAAGACTGGCACTTAGGTTGATAACCTAATGTAAATCAGTGGATGAATGGGTAAAGGAGATGTGGTGGAATATACAATGGAATATTATTCATCCATAAAAAAAGAAGGAAATCCAGCCATTTGTGACATGAATGGACCTTGAGGACATTACTCTAAGTGAGATAAATCAGACAGAGAAAGACAAATACTGTATAATCTCACTTATATGTGGAATCTAAAAAGCAAAACTCATAAAAAAAAAGTAAAATGATAGTTACTGGAGGTACCTTGGGGAGGGGTTGGGGAGATATTGTTTAAATGTTAAAAACTTGCAACTAATAGATAAATAAGCACAGCATGGTGATTATAGTCAACAAGACTATATTATAAACTTCAAAGTTGCTAAGAGAGAAAGTCTTAATTGTTCTCACCACAAAAAAGAAATAATAATTATGTAATGTGGTAGAGATGTTAGCTAACACTAGAGTGGTTATCATATTGCAATTTGTAAATATCAAATCAACATGTTGTACACCTTGAACTTACACAATGTTGTATGACAATTATATCTCAATAAAAATAATAAGATGGTACCCAAACAAATACACAAATAATGTTCTCTGATGGGAATCATTTGTATCATAAAAATGAAATTTCTTCAAATAGTAATATAAATTCAGTGCAATTTCAATTAAAAGCTTAATCTTTTTTTAAAAAAATGAGATAAAATTCACATAACATAAAACCACTTAAGCTATTTTAAAATGTACAATTCAGTGGCTTTAATACAGCCACAATATTGTGCAACAGTGACTCCTATCTAGTTCCCATTAAGCAGTTACTCCCCATTCACTCCTCCTCTCAGCCTCTGGAACCACTAATATTTCTGTGTCTATAAATTTGCTTATTCTGGACGGTTTTTTTTTTAAGATTTGTTTATTTATTTATTTATTTATTTGACAGAGAGAGACACAGTGAGAGGGAACACAAGCAGGGGGAGTGGGAGAGAGAGAAGCCCACCTCCCACCGAGCAGGGAGCCCGATGTGGGGCTTGATCCCAGGATCCTGGGATCATGACCTGAGCTGAAGGCGGACACTTAATGACTGAGTCACCCAGGTGCCCCCCTGCTTTGAACTTTTATGTGTACTTGAGTTTATCTGTGGCCCCTCTACTCTTCACTCATCCATTCACTCTCCCAATAAATACTTACTGAACAAATAATGTATTTAGAATAGACCAGATATTACATATACATATATAATATATACTATATATAACAGATATTTAAAAAAATAGTCTCCCAGTTAACTTCCTTTTAAACTGAGATAAATTCTTTGAAGGAAGGATGGATGTGCATGTTATGAGAGCATGTAACAGAGAAACACTATCTATATGGGGTCTGTTAGGGAAGTGGCAATTGAACTCAATTCAAAGAATAAGAATTAACTAGGTGAATAGGCACAAAGAAGGCATTCTAAACAGCAAATAGCATATCCAAAAGCCTTGAAACATGCTTCAGCATGGCATTATAAGGAACTGAAAGAAGGTCAGTATGAGGGAGTGAGGGAGAGAAAAGAAAAATTCAATAAATTGAGCTACATGAAAGCTAAAATCTGCTTTTCATAAGAACTGTTAAGAAAATGAAAAATGTTTGTATCCAAAATATAAAAATATATGAATAAAGAACTCTTACAACTCAATGACAAACTATCCAACTTAAAAATGGGCAAGAGATTTAAACACTGTATGAAAGAGATACAGATGGTAAATAAAGACATGAAAAGATGCTCAACATCACTAGTCAACAGGGAAATGAAAATTAAAAGCATAAGATACCACTATGAACACATTGGAATAGCTGAAATTTAAGAGACTGACCATACCAAGTATCGCCAGGAATGTGGAGCAACTGGAACTGATACACTATGGTTGGGAGTGTAAAATGGTACAAGTGGTTTATAAAGAGTTTGTCAAAGTTAGGGCGCCTGGGTGGCTCAGTTGGTTAAGTGACTGCCTTCGGCTCGGGTCATGATCCCAGGGTCCTGGGATCGAGTCCCACATCGGGCTCCCGGCTCAGCGGGAAGCCTGCTTCTCCCTCTCCCACTCCCCCTGCTTGTGTTCCTGCTCTCGCTGTCTCTGTCAAATAAATAAATTAATAAAATCTTTAAAAAAAAAAAAAAAAAGAGTTTGTCAAAGTTAAAAATGTACCTACCATATGACCCATTAATTCTAATCCTAGGTATTTACCCAAGCAAGAGAAGTGAAAGCATATGGTCATAGAAAGACTTGTACATGAACATTTATAGCAACTTTATTCATGTAGCCAAAAAACTAGAAACAACCCAAATATCCTTCAGTGGGTAGATGGATAAACAAATATGCTACATCTATACAATGGACTACTTCAGAAATAAAAAGGAATGAGATATTGATGCACATAACAATATGGAAAATCTCAAAATAATTACACTGAGTGGAAGAAGCCAGACAAAAGTACATACTGCATGATTCAATCTCTAGAAAATCCTAGAAAATACAAACCAATCTATCCTGACAGAAGGTAGATAAGTGATTTTCTGGCAGGGGGTAGTGGGGTACAGTGGGGAAGATTGACTGCAAAGAGACACAAAGGAACTTTCTGAGATAATAGAAATATTCTATATTTTGATTGGGGTAGTGGTTGCATGTACATATATATTTGTCAAAAGTCATTGGATTGTGCACTTAAAATAGGTGCATCTTATTTTATGTAAATTATACATCAATAAAATGCATTAAAATACAAAAGTTCAAAAAGTAGAATAATCCCCCCTATAATATCATGCAGGCATTGCAGAAGTTTCAGTGACAAGGTTAGGATATGACTATGGAAGGAGAAGAACAAGATCAGTGAAAGAGAAGAAGTCAAGGATCTGAGAGGCCAGAGTACTGGAAGGGTCATCTGTGTAGATATTCAAATCACCAAGAATTGTGATAGGAATAGTGTTGGAGAGAGTGACAATGATTCAGAAGCTAAAAATCCTCAAGAACTAGGGGAGAGTGACCCAGTGTTTGGAAGACTACTATAACAGGGAAGGGTAGTGGGTGAATTAGTCTGATTTTATGAGACTCAAGATATTTCTAGAGACTCAAGATATTTCTAGAGACTCTAGATATTTCTTTGTATGGGGGAAGTAGAATGGTCTGGACACAAGAATGAGGAGCAAGGATACCTAAAGGATACATACCTTGTTTCCAGGCTCAATGGTGAGAAGAATGAGGAAGAAAAGGTAGCCACTTCTTGAGAGGGCTATGGCTGATGCAGTGTCTTGTGGGAAATCCAGGCTTTAGACACCTCAATCTCAACATGCCCCAAACTGGATTCCTTCATTTTTCTTTACTCCACTCACCGACCTACTCTTTCTGTAGGGCTCCTAATCCTGTGAATGACACTACTATCTGCTATGGACTGAATTGTATTCTCCCAGAATCATATTTTGAAACCCTAACCTTCAATGTGATAGTATTTGGAGGCAAGGCCTTTGGGAAGTAATTAGGTTTCTATGAGGTCATGAGGTTGGGGACCTAATGATGGGATTAAGGCCCTTAAAAGAAGAGACCAGGAAGCTTTCTCTCTCCTCTCCTCCTCTTCTCTCTGCCCACCATGCAAGGACACTGAGAAAGCAATGATCTATAAGCTAGGAAGAGAGGTCTTACCAGAACCTGACCATGCTGGCACCTTGATCTTGAACATCCAACCTGTAGAACTTTGAGAAGATAAATATCTGTTGTTTAAGCCACCAAGTCTCTGGTATTTTGTTATGGCAGCCTGAGCAGACAAGACACTATCTACTGAGTTGCCCAAATTAGAAACTTGAGGATAATCCTCTGCTTTGCTCCCAAATTGAATTCAACACTAATTCTTGTCAGTTTTACTTATAAATATCTCCAGATAAGTTTCGTTCTTTCATTTGCCATGGCTTTTACATCATTCATTCATTCAATATTTATTTGATGCTTACTATCTGTCCAACACTGTTAGTTGCTAGCTACCCAAGTGCAAGCCATCAGCATATCTCATCTGTTGGATGGATTTATTTATTTATGCTTTTGCCTCAGTCTGTAGAAGAAAGTAAAGGGTACTTTTCACCTTACAGCTGCTCTGATCTGTCATTTCTAACAATATTAAGGTCCCAGAAGCCCTGGGCATAATCCTAATTTTTGGGGCAAATTTTCCTTTCCCTGGCAATGGGCACAACAGAGGAAATGATGTTTACTGTTGTTCTTTTGTGATGTCAGGGAGTGAAAAGCTGTGGGAAGAGGCACCCAACCTTGGCAGTTGTGTTTCTTTTGTAAAGGAAGTCAAACTAAGGATCCAATCAGAACTGGGACTAGTAAGTAGAAACATGATTATGGGTGGGAGACAGGAAGAAGAATGGAGTCTGATTATAGATACAGCAGGAAGGGTGGATCGCCTTTGGCAAAAGGAAAGGCAAAACACTGAGATGTGGGGGAAATGCAGTCAAGTTTTACAGGAAAACTGAGGTTTTTTTCCCCTGTTTATAATATACTGATTTAAAGTGCCATCACAGAAAATTTTAGGATGTAAATTCCCTAGCCTGACTGAAGAATTACCACCTTTTAAGTATATATAGCTGGCAAGGACAGGATGTGGTCATTCACAAAAACAATTTTTTCTCTTTATGTTTGTGATCTAAGTTTCTAAATATGAAAAATAATAATAGTCACAATATCTGACATTTATTGAGCGTTTACTATGTAAACAACTATAGTGTTTTATGTAGTTGTTTTATTTAATCCTCACAGTGAAGATGATCCCATGAGGTAGGTTCTGTTAACCCTCTTGTTTCACAGGTGAGGAAATTGAGGCTCAGAGAAGCTGACTTGTTCAAGTACACTCAGCTAGACAAGAGCTAATGATCTATTTACTCTTCTCATGTAGCAGGTCCAGGACTGTCTACTCCAAAACCCAAACTCTTAAACACTGTTTTCTCCCATCTAATAGTTTTGTTGAATTTTAAAAAATTAATCAGTTTTTATGATAGTCTTTATGATAGTTCTAAGAGAGTTTGAAAAAGGTCTGAAAATTCAGAGAAAGGTATAATCTCTTTTTTCTTTTCCACATAGATAAAATGTTTTTGTTGTTGTTGTTGTTCTTACGGTTAGGGTATGTGCCTTGTATTTTGCCGTTCAGAAACCCCTCCAGAGAATAAAATCCCAGACTTCTGCTGGAGTTAGGGTTAAGGTTAGGGGTTAGGAATTAGGGGTTAGGTTAGGGCTTGGGTATGTCCCTGGTATTTTGCCATTCAGAGACCTCTTCAGAAGGTTAGGGTTAGTTTTAGGGTTAGGGATTACAGTTAGATGTTATGGGTTATGGATTAAGGTTAGGGTATGTGCCAGGTATCCTGCCATTCAGAGACCTTTCCTAAGAATAAAACCCCATACTTCTGCTGGGATGAGAATAAACATGGCAACCATCTATCAAGCTGAGGCAAGGAGGGTATTTGGGACTCTAAATACTCTTTTTTTTTTTTTTGAATTTTGAGATTTTTTCATTTGAAGGTAAATCTTAATGCTATTAAATTCACAAATATGCTAATTTAAATACCCAATTCTATTTATCTAAAACACACATTGCAAACATACAAGTGTCTGTTCTCTCCACATGTCAGAGCCCATTCATTTCATGGTTTGGAAATGCGGAGAATAGATTCCCCTTAAACTGCAAGTCAGCAGGTGTTTCTTTACAGTTAACTTTAGCAAAATTCATACAAAATAGTAATTAACAATGATCTTCTTTACTTGTTAACTCACAAGGAAACACCTTCAAAACTGCATTTTGTTAAAGTTTCTGTACTAAAATGTAGAAAAACTGAACTACACAAATATTGAAAAGTTAAAAATTCCTTAATTTTTTATTTCTGGTACCACTACCACAATTTACAGGGCAATATACCTGAAGTAATGAAAAGAAAAAGAAAAAGACAGAGCTACAACAGATAAAAGACCTCAGGAATGTACATCTAATTGACACTACATTGCATTAATCAATAGCTGCACTTTTTGCAAACTGTGGCTATGACGGTCCTGAACAAGAAGGGTTTCCTGTTTAAGCTGCAGTAAATTTTCTGACTATGGATCATCGTTCCTTCTGTGGCAGATTTTTACAGTTCCTCTAATGCATTTGGGACGACTGTCTCAAAGTAACCTGCAGCTTTCCTGACAACTCCTCGCTCCCTCTCCTGCTAAGAACTGTAGCCCTTTCCTTCTGATTTTTGTTTAGAACCTTCTGCTACCATATCCACCACTTCCACCACCAGACCCATAGCCACCACCGTAGGGACTGCCTGAGCTCCTTCCACCAAAACTGCCCCCCTTCATGGGTCCATAATTTGATTGCTGTTGTCCACCATAATTTCCAAAATCATTAGAGTTCCCACCACCCCCATAGTTACCACCCCCAAAATTTCCTCCTTCATTGTAACCGTCATATCCTCCACCACCACCTCCATATCCGCCTCCTTGGTTTCCATATCCTGGTCCACCACCACCATAGCCTTCTCTACTGCTATAACCGGGACCACCATTATAGTTGCCACCATCACCTCCACATCCATTATATCCACCATCACCTCCTCCATAACTACCTCTGCTGCCACCACCTCCACCACCACAGCCTCCTCTTCCACCGAAGTTTCCACCATGGCCAAAGTTACCACCACCTCCAAAGTTTCCTCCACGACCCATGAAGTTGCCAGATCCACCTCCACGACCTCTTTGTGATCTAGCAGACTGCATTTCTTGTTTAGAAAGGGTCTTTTTCACTTCACAATTATGCCCATTAATAGTGTGGTATTTCTGAACAACAAGTTTATCAAACGTATCATGATCATCAAAAGTTACAAAAGCAAATCGTCTCTTTTTTCCACTCTGCCTGTCTTCCATAACTTCTATGGTTTCAATCTTGCCATACTTTTCAAAGTAGTCTCTCAAATTATATTCTTCTGTATCTTCTTTAATACCACCAACAAAAATTTTCTTCACCGTTAGATGGGCACCAGGCTTTACAGAATCCTCTCTACAAACAGCTCTCTTTGGTTCCACTACACACCCATCAACCTTGTGTGGTTGGGCACACATTGCTGCATCCACCTCTTCAACACAAGAGTAAGTTACAAAACCAAAACCCCTGGAACGTTTTGTTTGGGGGTCTCTCATCACCACACAATCTGTAAGTGTACCCCATTTTTCAAAATGTTCTCTTAAACTATCATCTGTAGTTTCAAAGCTCAAACCACCAATAAACAGTTTTCTCAACTGCTCTGGTTCCTTTGCATCATGGCCCTCCATTTTGAGACCGGACTCGCCTCTTCCAACTCGAATTCAATTGGGACTCTAAATACTCTTTAAATAGATATTTAATTGATTTTTCTGTTTTTATCTCTACTTTCACACCCATTTTCAGAAATACTACCAGTTCTTCTTCTTCTTCTTCTTCTTTTTTAGAGAGAGAAAGACAGAATGAGGGAGGAAGGGAGGGGAGAGGGACAGAGAGAATCTTAAGCAGGCTTCATGCCCAGTGTGGAGCCCAACACAGGGCTCAATCTCACAACCCTGAGACCATGACCTGAGCCAAAATCAAGAGTCAGATGCTTAACCAACTGAGCCACCTAAGTGCCCCAATACTACCAATTCTTAAATGTTTGGGGTCATCTCTAGGAAAACTAGGCTGCTTCTCAACTTTTCTTATCATGTGTTCAGTAAGCCAGATCAAGGGTTAGGGTTAGGGTTAGGGTATGTGCCTGGAATTTTGCTGTTCAAGAACTCACCAGAGAATATAACCCCAGACTTCTTCTGGGCTTAGGCTTAGTGTTATGGTTAGGGTGTGTGCCTGGTATTTTGTCGTTCAGAGACATCTCCAGAGTGTTAGGGTTACATTTAGGGTCAATTTTAGGGATTAGGTTTAGGGATTAGTGGTTAAGGGTTAAGGTTGGGGTTAGGGTATGTGCCTGGTATTTTCCAGGTCAGAGACATCACCAGAGGACAAAATCCGATTTTTGCTGGGGTAAGTATAAGGGTTGGGGTTAGAGTTAGGTTTAGGGTTTGTTTTAAGGTTAGGGTATGTGACTGGTATTTTCAGTTCAGAGACATCTTCAGAGGGTTAGGGTGTGCTGTTAAGGGTTAGGGTTAGGGTTAGCTTTAGGGTTTTGGTGAGGGTTAGCATTGGGTCAGGGTTAGTGTTAGGTTTAGGGTTAAAGTTGGGGGTAGGGTTTAGGGTTTAGCAGTCAGGGTTTAGGGTATGTGCCTGATATGCTGCAGCTCAAAGATTTCTCCTGAGAATAAACTCCATGTTCTCTGGGATGAGAATAAACATGGCAACCATCTACCTAGTTGAGGCAAGCAAGGTATTTGCGACTCTAAATACTCTTTAATTAGATATTCAGTTGATTTTTCTGTTTTTATCTCTACCTTCACACCCATTTTCAGTAATACTACCAATTCTTGAATGTTTGGGGTGTTCTCCAGGATAATTAGGCTGTTTCTCAGTTTTTCATAGCATGTGTTCAATAAGTCACTTTCTCAGACCACAGTTTAGGGTTAGTGTATGTGCCTGGTATTTTCGAGTTCAGAGACCTCTCCAGAGGGTTAGGGTTAGTGGGTATGGGTTTGGGGCTAGGGTATGAGATAAAATGGCTTTGACACATTCAGAATTTTGGCCCAAATGTTAAGTTCTATAACTTTATGTAAAAATCTTTATTTTAAAGTGTTTGGTAGAGAACACAGAACCTATTTAATGAGCAACAAACCAGTAAGATAAAGTCTGCATTTAGAGAAAATAAAAGGTATGTTAGAAAATCCTTTGTTCTTCGTTCATGGTTAAAAATCTTGCCCAAGTCATTCAGAGCTAAGGCAATGTTTTCACTGATTACATTAAAACACCTAGGTGGTATGATATAAATTCTTTTGTTTCGGTGTGATATAAATTCTTAATTGTGACAGGAAAGTGCTTAATCTCTTTTAGGTATCCTATTGGTGATATGGGGAAGAAGTTGTGGTAGGGTTTTTAAGCCACAGCCAGAGGTAGCTGGGGAAATCACAAACTCCTTTAATCTTTAGAAAGAAACTGCACGATCTATAATGAGACACCATTGATAAACAGCAGTGCTTTTTAAACTTACTCATTAATATTTTTCACGCCTCTTAAACCTTATGCCCCATGTCCATATTTTCTATGAAACTTCTAGAGATCTATGGAACACATCTTAAAGCAAAGCAAAACAAATACCTGGACCAGATGATACTCAAGGTTCTTTCAGAAAATCTATAATTTGTATCAATGTCATTAGATAAGCTTACATCTAAAGGATTCCATCTGATGAAATTCTCGAAAAATTTACTAAAATGTTTGCCAAATTGAAAACAGTTGAATAAGATTAGATATAACTATTTTAAAGAATTGGAATCCTAACCTTGCCATTCACTAACTATGTGACCCTGGACAAAGTTACTTAGATACTCTTTGCTTTACTTTCTGTATCCATAATATAGGGTTAATAATAAACCACTTAACACAATGCCTGCCATATAGTAAGTATTCAATAAATGATTAGTTATTTTAACCTGAAAGTTATTATTTAATTCAACATTTGTTCCTCCAATGTGTGATTCACTAACTTTTCCTGTCCAGATTACTACCCAAATATGGGAATTCTATGAAGATGAACACATAGATAAATGCCAACAACTAGTTCGGGGAGTTTGATTGGGTTGAATGAGTAGTTTAGACTGAAGGAACACTTTAGTTGCCCTATGAAGAGACATTACATCTGGTTTGAAATTGGTAGATGTAAAAATCCAGTTAGGAAGTTAAGGCTTATTAATATTGTGTCTGAGCAGTCACATGTTTTGCTAAAATCCAGAGATAAGAGAAGTAGCCTCTTATGCCCCATAGTCCAACACTTATTTGGATTATTTTGGTATGCAGGAATTCAAGGATCACTCTCCTATAATTTTGAAAGGGCAGGTTGATTATGTCCTTTGTGTATATATTTGACCAGTTTTTAAATATTTTTAAACGAGTGTAAAAGTATTACTTTGGCTAACAGATATTTAAGCTAACATTTTGTAAACATACTTTATTTTATATCTTTGTAAGTCATCAATAGACATATAGTTTTAGAGGCAAGTTCCTTAAACTTTATTGCCTTCGTTTACTTACCTAGAGATGAGGGCAACAATATTACTATAATGACAAGTACTACTACCATTACTCCTACTCATGATACTACTTCTACTCGTACTGTTAATGTAAGTTGTTAGGACTAAATGAGGTAATATATGTAAATATGTGTAATATATGTGAAGTGTTTAGAAAAGGGCCAAACATGATATGAGAGTTTGTTATGATTATTATCATCCTGGATACTTCCAATAGTCAAGGAAAATATAGAAGAAAAAAATAGTATAGGAAACTTTAATTTCTACTTGGAATAACCTATACAAAATTATTATTTTTCTTGATGAGTTAATTTAGAAACACATGTTCCTTTCTCCTGCCTTAGGGGTTTTCCAAAGGGCTTTTCTGAAAAGTTAAGGCATTACAAAAAAACCCCAAGGCAGACCATAAAGAGGAAACACACCATTCTAAAATGCCTCCTCCTCACGCAGACTCCTCACACAGACTCCTGGCTGTTTTCTCCCATAGTGTCCATGTGACTCCACTGTGAGTTTCATCTATTGCGGGAGAATTTTAGAAAGCTCTATCTGGGCTATGTGTGGGATTGGCGCTCTCAGCCCATTCTTGGCCTTCTCTTCTCCCCATTTAGGCCTTCCAAAACCTATCTCATAAAACAACAGATTGCAAAAGCTAGAAAGCCCTTAAGGATCATTTTGTCAGGCTCCTTCATTATACAGATGAAGAAACAAAGGTCCAGAGGGAAGGAGAGATTTGTTCAAAGTTACACAGAAAGCCGCCAAGAATATAATTTAGATGTTCCGACTACCAACCAGTCTAGTGCTCTTTCCACAATATCTCTTCGCCTTTTTCAAATAACATGTTTTCCTATTGTCGTCTAAGAACAGCCAGGCATACATCGAGTACTCAGAGGAGGAATATAATTACAAAATTATTTCTAATCTCTAGCCCAAATACTGACTTCTTTTTAGAATCTAAGGCACAGTGTCAAGAAATAATACATTCCATATGCCTTTATTATAGCTAGAAAACTTACCTTCACGAAAAGCTCAATTTCAGGATCTGCCATCTTTTTGTTTTTAATACCAGTAGTCAGCCCCCTGCCTCTTGCAGAGTTCACAGGACTTGTGGACTATTTTCTTCCAGTTTTATCCAAAGGCTCAGATAAAGTTGGTGCTTTAAGAGGAGAGTCCAGCTTGTAGTAGACTGAGTCAGAGCTGGCGCCAGTCTCTCTTCTCAAGAGGTGGGGTGCAGAGAATTCTAGATGCTTGAGAGCAGCTCTTGAATTCTTTTTCCTTCTTCCTCTTGACTTAACATTTAAATCAAGGAGGAGCTTAAGGGGTGTGTGTAAACTGGCTGGCTATGAAGGTGGGGGTGTTTCCAGAAAGACTTCAATGCCATGAGTCAGCATAGGAAAAACACATACACACAAAAACACACATGCAGTGCTGGCTTCTATATATCAAGCCGACCAGATGTTCTCTAGAGCCTCCTTTTGAGTCCTGGGCTTCATGCCCAGAAAATGGCCTCTTATTGCTGTTCCTGTAAACTGACAGCAGCAAAAAAGCTTTTCCAGGAAAAGGGCCAGAAATGACTTGGGTTGTATCATTGAAAAGGATGTTTATCTAATGATATTGTGTAAAAGAGGGTTAAAAAAAGTGTACTTCATCAAATGTCTCCACCCCCAATTCAGATTTCCCTTCCGAATTATATCTTTCACTTCTCTTCTATAACCAGGGAATCTTCACTGGGTTCGTTGAGTCCAGGGGGCATCCTTTGCATGCCCCATGTCATTCTTATTTCTGGGAAATCTGCACTGGGACAGATCACTTCCTGGTTTTGGTATCTGTAGCAGAAACCACAAGCAGTTCTGTATCTCTGCTTGTCAGCCTTGGGAGAAGCAATAAAATAGCCAGACTAACACTTGGTGTCTGTAGTGTTTCTGGCAGTTGTATTTTTTGCCTGCCAGGATGAGGGTGGGGGGAGGGCTGGATTAATAAACCTCTTTGGTATGAAGAGTCTCTTTGTGATTGAAGCCAAAGTGAACATAGACCCACCAGTTGGGTGCCCACTGTGACCCTGTTTCTACAACACCAAACGTCCTCTGTGCTCACATGGGCTGTACAATCTGTCACTACCCTCATGCAAAGAATTTACAGAATAAGAGGCTCTTGGCAAAACCGGGTCTGTGCA